AGAAAACGTCGAACACGCTTCACTGTGAAAATCTCCTCGTAGCGCAGATGAAGGTGGAGTGAAAGGTAGCGTTCAACGCTTATTGCAGTTACCGTACCAAAGGATACACACGTAAAACAAGAAGCAGTTAAATTCAACCCAACCGCACAAATACAAGTAAGTTTATCGGCACCGTGGAAGGCAAATGAGAACAAATAAGCAATGAAGAAAGGCTGTACGACCAAACCAACGCCTAAATCTGACAATGCTAATCCAATCAACAGCATGTTCGCGGGTGTACGAAGCTGATACGACCGCCATATTGAAATTATAACAAGAGCATTGGCCAGTGTTGTTATAATGCAAAACGGAACGTTAAGAATGGCGTCTATGATGAATCCTGTTTTAAAAGGATCGTTTCCTGCTCTTGACATGTAATGGTAACCCTTAAAGCGATTACAGAATTTATCCACAGAATGAGCAAGTGAAATATTCTCCATACCGAAGTCCCAACGAGCAGTAGATCCTCCTTCACTATGTAAAACAACTCGAAAGAGCAATATTTGACCACTGCCCCGTGGTGCGGCTTTTGGTTTCCATGTGTCATGCTGTTTGTGTACGTTGTTTGACACTTGATTGACTATAGTAATCATTGCATTGCATTATCATTGTTATGATTTGTTTGTTTGTTTCTTTGTTTTTGTTTTTTTCTATGTTAAAGCTTTTGCAATACTGTAACTACATAATTATGGGTGTCCGCCAAGGCTGTCCTCTCTCTCCTTACCTTTTTATTCTTTCAGCCGAAATTCTGGCCAAAGCAATCCGAAAAAATGCAGACATAAAAGGTTTATTAGTTAAGGATACTGAGATTAAATTAAGTCAATATGCTGACGACACAACTTTAATTCTTGACGGTTCAGAAAAGTCCCTCTCTGAAGCCCTAAGGATCTTAGAAAGCTTCGAGAAAGTTTCAGGTCTCAGACTAAACAGTAAAAAGACTGACGCTCTTTGGAAACACCTTTTTGCCTTTCTAAAGGATCGTAAACTTTTACCCAACGACTATCTCCTTAACAGTCTTGTCGTCTTGGGTCTGATGCCTGATACTTCTAAAAACAAAGCCGCAATTAACTTCGTTCTGTTACTTGCGAGATTCTACATTTGGCTTTGCAGAAGTAAAGGAAATATTCCAACTATTGAAAATTTTAAGCCTTTTTTAAAACAATATAATAAAGAAATTGAACCTTTCCCTCTTTAGTAACCTTTTACCAGTTTGGGGTCTCTCGCTCTTTTTACACTTTCCTTCCTACTAGACATTCCCTTCCTATTTTCCTCGCTTCAACTTTCAAAGTATATAAAGCTAATTTCCGTGAATCAGCAGAGAAAATATCTTTAATCTCTTTTTTCTCCTTTGAGTTAGAACCACAGTTAACTAAAATTTGCCATACTTACCCGCCCCCCCGTTTCTTTTTTTCTGTTTTTGTAGCGTATGTAATCCGTAATGTAAGTAGTGTAGCTGTTTTATATATGTAAAGCGTGGAGTATAGCACTTTTAGTAGTGTAAGCATCTCATTGTAAGTAAGTACTGCAAGTTTTGTATTGTAAGTAGAGAATAGTATTGTTAGTAGTGCAAGTATCTCACATTGTAAATAAGTTTTTTTTTTGTAAGTAGAGTATAGTTCTGTTAGTAGCGTAAGTATCATACATTGTTTGTAAGTAAGTATTGTAAGTAAGTACCTTATAATTGAAAATTAAAAAAATTAAAAAAACTACATAATTATAGTCATGCAAATAAAGCTTATGTTGTTGTTGTTGTTGTTATTAATAAGGGTGAAAATGAACTATTAGCACCGAAAAGGAAGTCACTGTCATAGTTAAATATCTGCACTCAAGTGACAATTTATAATTAATTAGCTATAAAACATTTCTAGCACCTTAAATAGCCAACAAACCCACGCAAAACGTTTATTAAAGGTAGAAAGATTGGGCACAAAACTTGACCTCTTTGAAAAACATTCTTCACTTAAATATCTTAGAATCCATAACTTCATTGAACTAAATAAAGATAGATGACGATGCGTTTTTCTTAGACATGTTCCTAGAGACCGGTCATTATTTATGTGGGGGGGGGGGGAATCATGGGGTGGGCCAGGCCTATTTTTTTCAACAGAAAAGGGGTGGGCCAAAAGAGAATTTCACGATGACTGGGGGTGGGTCATTGTGTGTTTTGTAAAGAATCACGGTCACTACAATTCATGTGGAAGATCTAAATAAATTCTAATGCAATGCTGGACATAAAATATAACACAACTGGATGTCACATGTAGCAATCCAATCTAAGTGTGGAGAATCAAATATGTGGGCACTAAATATCAATAAATAAACATAAGCCCTATTGAGAAGGCTTGCATGCTTCCTTTTCTTAATATAACCGTCTGGGAACTTTTACTACCTGAAGCGTGAACAGCTAGAAATCATTATTGGTTTCAATAATGGATTATTGAATTCATTATTCAACTTAGAATTAGAATCACATTGAGCACTTGTCGCAACTGCAAAGTGTCAATGAGATCCGTAAGCAAGAGCGAAGAAAAGGAAAGCAAGTTCGAGCCTTAAAAGATGTACACTGCCGTGACTGGAAAACACTTGGAGAGAAGGGGAAGCTTGACACTCTGAAAGTCCCTGAGTTGGACAAATACATTGAGCATAATAAACTTAGCAAGAACGGAAAGAAAATCGACAAAATCAAGTGAATCACAGAACACTATTATGAAACTTCAAAGGAATCTACATTTCCTTCAAGCGTCAGTGTTGGTGAGGACAGTGATGACAGTGACAATGACCTTGTTTTGTGTGACGAAAGTGAAAGCGAAAGTGAATCAGATGATGACAGTCATACTGTAACAATACAATAAGGCACATCAACAAAGACGTGGCAGCAGAGTAGGACACTGGTCCACAAGATATGCTGATTTCGTTCAGTGGACAGAAACTCCTTATAGAGGAATAGATTGAAGGGGGTTGGGGGTGGGTCACCTTATATATAAAGTTCTATCGGGGTGGGTCAAGAATTAACTAATAGGCTTAAAGGGGTGAGTCACGTTTTTTCTTTCATGCGAAAACAAAAAAAAATCCCCCCCACGGGGGAAACGGCAAGGCGATAAATTCTACCATCTCTGTCAGAACTCTGGCGCGGTCCCTTCTCTTCAGCTCCAACCCAAATTCCCTTCTTTTAAATAACTGGGCCCCTTGAATAAATCATGAAAAAAACTGAAAGGATACGGAGTTTATTTTTCAGCGACGTCTTCATGGACGTCGCTGTTGTTGGATCGTAAGGTCCCTCATGTTTCTTTCATCACTTCCACCCGCCAAACGTTCAGCCTATAAACAGTAACAAGTCCGTCATTTCATAATAAATACTATGGTGGCAGGTACTACAGGGCCAAATAAGACTGAAATTGTTCTTTATTTGGGTGTATCTTGGCTACGAAGCACTGACACAAAACTCTTGAATTTTTTTTCCTACCATGGCCGGTCATACAGGATAGCAACTTATTTCTAATGTGAGCAATGCTTTAGTTTTTGAGCTGAAAACGTCGCGTTCGATGGTGTATCAGCCATTTTGTGATTAAATAGTGAGTAATCCGCAAGTTCGGTAGAAAGTCCTGTGATCACCTACCCCTCCCCTAAGTCACAATTTTGCCCTGAGTGAGAAGTTAGAGATAGTATTGACCTAGGGGGGAGGGGGGAGGTGGTCAGTTTACTATTACTACAGCTACAGGTTTAAACGCGACAAGTAAACTATATTCGGTATATTAAACAGAACAAGTACGCTCTTAGTAGCGTAGAGTCTCGCTTGCTTGGAGATGAGTTTTGTTCTCAAAGGCCCCGGTGCTGTTATACTACTTTTTCGTTTGGAATACAAAACGAGTGTTGTATGTCATAATGTAAAGACTCAAAAAGTAAAAATTGCAAGGAGAGACAGGCCGTACATCTTAGCCTCAAACCGGTGTGAAACCTTTGAAAACCTTCTGCATATTGATATTGCTCCATTGAGGAGTACTCTTTCAAGGATTTTACACTCAAAAAATTGAACGATGATTTTTATCGGTATCAGGGGCCCATGACTCTGTCAGTATAAATATACATAGCTTCTTTGTACCGGACCAAGATACGGCTCGGTACAGTATATGTTCAGTATCTACTTTTAATATCTCCGTACAGTCTCAGAGTACAATGTTTACAGTTGTACACAGCATGCATTTTAGATAGATAGATAGATAGATAGATAGATAGATAGATAGATAGATAGATAGATAGATAGATAGATAGATAGATAGATAGATAGATAGATAGACAGATAGATAGACAGATAGATAGATAGATAGATAGATAGATAGATCGATGGATGGATGGATGAAAGGAGGGAGGGAGGGAGGGAGGGAGGAAGGGATGGATGGATGGATGGATGGATGGATAGATCGATAAGAACTTTATTTTAGCACGATAAAAAGATCAGCATTGCTGGTGGGGTCGTGCATACAACAATTACAAGAAAAAAACGGAGTGCTGAAAGCAAGTGTACAATTAAAAATTAAAAACTGTTAAAGTTTTTTCTTCTATTACAGTATCACTGGGATAAAGCGTTTCATTTTCCAGGAAAATTTCACCTTCTCGTCAAAACAATCACTGCTCAGACAGACCCGGATTAGTTTACTTGAATTTAGGGTTCAATACAGTGAAAACGGGGTTCTGTTCTGCGAAATTTATTTACGGTCTGCGGCCCACATCACCACTGATCCATGACCTATTTATTAAGTTTATTTTCAAGTTCTTTTTAACCGATCCTCGATCCATGATTTCTCGATCCTCGATCCTGATTTTCCAGTAAATCGTGAAGTTTTGCTTATTAAGATTATTCTTTTTTTTTTTTTTTCGACCACTACAGTGATCAGTTGTTCCAAAATAATCAACACTTTCAAGCGATAGAATTCTTGGACCAACTCGTTCCGGAAAAGCTCGATATGGGATTTCTATCCTATGGACATGAAGTGCTGCACGTAGAGTGCGTGGATAGTCAAGTTCAGAGCTACCCGTATAAACAAATCCGTGACACATACGTAACGTTAGGGCGGATTTCCACTGACGCGTTTTTAGCTCCGCACGTTAACGCACGTAAATTTTAATCATGTAAATAAAGTAGTGGTAAGATATAAAGTGTTGAGATTAAATGTCAAATTGAGCGAGTTTCTACTTTTACGCTTACATAATTGTACGTGCGGCCTTTCATACATTGCCTCTGTTTTAATTGCGAACGCAAATTTTACGCACGTACGCACTAAAAAATTACGTGACAGGGGATACTTGATATCTCAAGTATTTAGGGACGGACCATTAGAAAACTTATGCGGGGGGACGACGGGCGAAGTACCAAAAAAATATTCGCGCAAGGGAAAATTAAATGAAAAAAATTCATGCACGCCAATTAATCCTAAAAAATATTCATGTTATGGCCTGAAAAAAATTCATACAAGGAATTTGATAACGAAAAAAAATTCCTGCGGCTCGAAAATTCCCCCCCCCATAACTTTTCTAATGGTCCGTCCCTTATAAAATGCAGCACGACTTCACATCTTAACAACTGCGAAAATCTATTTATTAAATACATAAAACAAAGTGAATCTATTTAACCGAAGATTTCCTGTAATTGCGACAATATTCTGAGAAACGTAACGATTTAAAACACCACAAAACAGGATTTCCTCGCTATAATATTTTCTCATCCTGCTTGGGGATATTTCCTTTTTAAAGTGCCTGCATGTCGTGCATAATTACACGAAAACGCAAGGGCCTCCATTCGAGGAGAATTACATCATTGCCCAACTTAAATGCGTCATTTCAGTCATCGCCGAAAACATACCGCGTGCTCATCACGAGACTCATTTGCATACAGTGAAAGTCGACACGATTCTTATCCCCAGTTTCCACGGTCTTCGCTAGAAACGCGTAGCCTACAAGCTAGGTCCCACCGACAAAAAAGAAACGACTGCGCTAGAGTCTCGCTCTGCTCCCAACTCCCCTGCCCGACGCCTTTTACTGTGAAGTTGGCACATTCAGCTGTTCACAATGCACTCGCTGGCTCATCACATTTCTGGAATGGCCTTCTGTCCATATTCTTTATCGAGATCTGGGGAGGTTTTACTGTGGAAGGCTCTTATGAAGCTCACATACAGTTTCATCATCCTTACACCAATGTGATAGGTTTGGGTGATTCCAGTTCATGGGCGGCTTTCTTGTGCCGCGATACATACCTGTTTATTGAACCTCTCTTCTTGCAACTTCTTTACCCTGTAGTTGGCCTAAAATTGCTTGCAGGACGTTGGAGGCCAAAGCCAGGTTTCTGTTTGTTACTATGGTACGGTATATAATGCACTTCTGCTTGTTCCACTATGTAACTGGTCTGTCAGTTGTAGGTGCTATCTTTTGCAACATAACTGTGCGCACATCCACGTCAACATTTTTGAACACATTGGTTTACCTATGTGCGATGTCAAAAAGCGTCCCAAGAGACTGTACTAGATGGCATCATCAGCGCTTAGTCTTCCCCGTAATCTCCTACTTGATTTCTCCTTTGGTCAATCAGTAATCTGCTCTCATGTGGAGCATCATTTATTTCCACAACTGTCTGATAACATTTGCCTAAAGATCAAACCTGTGGTATACAGCTACCTTAAGAGCAATGGCCTTCCCTATCATGAAGCACGTTATCTCAGCCAGCTGTGGAAATTTTACAACAATTATGCACCACCAATCACAGAGTTAATTGGTATCCCGTAAAGCAGTAATTTAATGGTTTTCAAGAGCAGAGGGCTTTACCACTTAACTAACAAATGTGCACTATCTTGTTAATTGCAGTTGTGAACAGTGTAAACTAGCAAGTTGCTTGTAACTCATGACTGTAACGTGTAAATTCTGCATCATTTAGGTTGGTTTAGGAAGAGTCATTCAAGACTTTATATAAATGATTCCTTCTTAATTCAACAACTTTTAATGGACTTTCTATTGAATATTACTTTCAAAGAGTTCCCTCACCATACCAGAGCATATTATATAGTAATTATATTATTATTATATAATTATTATATTAAAAGACATAGTAGTCAGTGACAGCTAACAAAAGAATGTTAGCTTCATCATTTTATTTCAACATGGTCACTGCTCTGTGTATTAATAGGCCATTTGCACGATGGAGTCATTTTACTACTATGACCAGAATTCTTTTCGTTTTTCCTTTCATATTCAAATTTGGTAATCCCAGTGAGGTTTCAATGACAAAAACCTAAATTTGCACAAGAAAGTAAACCCTTGAAGGATTCTGGTCATAGTAGTGAAATGACTTCATCATGCAAATGGCCTATTATCAGAGCACTCCGCATATTGGTTGCCCCGTGATGTAGACAGACAAACAAGACTTCTTTTATTCCCCTAGCCTGCATAGCTGGTGGTTTTGTCTGGCCAGTATGCAAATATTCTCCTCGCAGCGTCACCACTCATTAGCGCACCTCTCCTTTGTCCCTCCCCCTACAAAACTGCCGGCTACGCAGGTTATTATTCCCCATAGTGCTCCATGTGGGCTAAGAAACTTGTTTAATTTACAGTTGTCTTAAACACTGAGCTGTGGCGTAACACTTGATAAGGAGTTAATGTTCAGGCCATGAAGAGACTAAATTTATGAAAGGGAGTTTAATTTTGATAATCATGAACTAAATCTTGCGTTTGATAAAGACTTGTTTTTGTTGCTGGAAATTTATTCGAACAGTTTTCAATGTTGTGTCAGTTTTAGTCACTAGCAGGGATTCATTAACGCTGTGATTTCTGATTCTGCATTACTTCAAACTTCATTGCTAATATTCCAGCTCACTCAAATGTATGGGAATGCTCTTCGAGTTGAATTCTTACAGACTGTATCCAAGTTCATAAAGAGAAAAAAAATCATTTCCTACATCCTCCATAAAACATCAAATTAGGAGTTTTGTCATTGAAGTTGTGCAGTGACAACAAAGAAAGGAAAAAGCGTAATGCAATGTGCTCAGCCGCTGTTTTGCTTTCTTGAACGGTTCCTGTTAACATCTTCAACTCCGTACTGTTCTGCATTCTTGGCACTTTTTGGCTATAATTGCTCTGATTCAGGCATTAAAGGGTGGTGGGAGGAGGGTAAGAAGGTGGAAAAAAGGGAGAGTCCCCCCTCCCCCTTTAAGTCTCAGTTGGCCAAGAGTAACATTCTTTTATTGGCTTACAATGTTTAGGGGGAAATGGCTGGTGTATTTTTATTTTATCAATTATTGTGTGGAAACTACATTGTTGAACGGATTCTCTTTCAGTCTCTCTCTTCTCCACAGCCCCAACATACATCCTATTAGAGATTTCTTTCGGTCCAAACTACCTCTAGTGTGTTATGTATAGAGCAGATTTTACAATTTAAAGTTTGCCAGCAAGATATAATTGTTTAAATGAGCAAAATCTTTCATTAACGTCCTATATCTTTTTTTAGAAGCGCTCTAAGAATTCAGCTTTATATACGACACACTACAGTCTTCCAAGCATATCCCTCTGCAGTGCCAGCTCGTGAAGTTTTGCACCTGCGCTGAATTCTTGAGCATAAAATTGTTGGAAAAATTTAATTTTGAGACTCCTGAAGGTTTCCCGACTAAAACCCAAATTCCAAGCAAGATATGTAATTATGGTTAATTACATTCCACGCTTTTTTGGGAAAAAGAAAACGTACAACGAGTTTTGGTATTAAATTGGGTTGAAGTTTCTTAAGAGTTCCGTATTTTTATTTATTTAAAAATCACTTAAACAAATTTACTTCCATTCAAAGCCCCTTTGTTACTTTTGAATAACCATTTTGTTCGCAGTCTTCGTGCCACACGTGCAACTGAACACTTTAAACTAGTAATAGTTGACACTACAGCTGTCCCCGCTCTGTATATAGTATTCTTGCTCCTTGTGTAGCTCTTTGAAATATACCGATTCATAATGAAGATGTTCACACATATTCCATACAATAGGTGAGATAAATACAGGAAATAAACCCAAGGTATTAGGTTCCATGCACAGTTTCGGTTCGATTTACACAGCTTTGATCAAAACATAATCATTCTCAGTTTCAAGAATAGTTTATTCTAAACCATAAGAAAAGATTTAATTAGAAGTTTAATTTTTCGCTATTTCTATCTCACTTTTTACATTTAGTTCATTTCATTTGCCGGAAAGTAAGCCTTAGAAATTAAAAGGACGTTTGATCAATTCACGCTCGCCCATTCTAGTCTTATTTTAAACTTTATAGCGGAAGAACATCTGTGAGCAGGGACTAAGTCAGTACAAAATTTGATGGTCGGCGAATTTCTGTAATCGTCTATCGTTCTGCTATAAGCTAGCCGTTGAATCATTCACTCGTCTTGCTTGTTTTGGGCCGAGTCTTATTCAGGTCAAAGAGAGAGAAAGAGTGTCTGGCAAGGTTCAGCAGAAGGCTTCCAATCAAAGATTTGTGAACTCGTGTCTGGCAAACTTACTTAGTGTTAAAATATACACTGTTCTACGCACCTTATAACTTCATCTGCGCTTAACGAGTGTCTTTTGGTCCAAAACTTTCATAACAACTGCTCCACAGAATGTCACTGATAACAAGCAACGCTAAAGATTATCGAAGTGTGACTCCACAATTAATGTCACAAAATCTACCTTTAGTAAGCTGTTCCTTCGGGAATTTTTTGTGTTTTACGTCATCCTAACCATTTCGTACTTGCGGGCGCAAACAATAGAAACGTCATCATTACCTACCAATTCCACGCGGCCCCTGTTCAAGCAAATCGAGATTTTTTCTATATTGACTGTACGACTGTATATTTCAACTGTAAGTACTTTCCTTAATATACGCGCGAGTTACTAGACTGCCTCCTCGGGATTTCGCGTTGTGGGCGAAATCCCTGCGGGGGCAATTATGTGCTCATCTTTTATCCAGTTATGAATATCTCGTAAACCTGTCGATATCAGTCGTTGTACTTCCTGCATACGCTTTAAATTAATGCATAACAATGAGTCCAAGGAGTCTCCCGTGACCTCAAGGTAAGGCAAAGAGAAATGAATCTATATCGACGAAGATAGACGCGTTAATTTTGTGCGCCCAAGTATACGTTCACACAGCGTCTTGTTTGTGGTTTGTTTGCTCAATCCTGCTCACGTGACACCTCTCGAGATCGATAGTACTTGAGCTTACTTAACCTGAGATCAGGCGTTATTTTATTGTACTTTTTTTTTTTTTTGCTTCTTTGTGTCTTTGGCTCTAGAAGGAGACATAAAGGGATAATAGGGAGAGGGCATGATCTCAGGCTAGAGCTCACTTGCATTCTATTGTCATTATAAACTAATCTCACAGAATAATTTGAGGCAGCGTAGAAAATATTATTACTTAGTTACTGATTACTCTATAATCGATTCTAAAACAAGTTATATCGCTCCAGTGGCGGCGGTAGATAAGAATGAAAAGTTCTGCAACACGAGGCGGTCAGGCAAAACAGTTAAGGATTTCAACAGCTTTGGACGTGTGGGTAGAAAACGAAAGCCAAAGATCCAAAAACGAAAAGCCCCCTCCCTCAAAATCACTTATAAATAGCTCGAAACGGCTATCTCAACCTGAGATATGTAAGCAACAACAAGATCTTCAATTATCAATGAATTTGACTAGGGTTTTCGGTTTCTACACCCCTTCCCCCCTCCCCAATGTAAAAAAACCAAGACTCCTCTCAAAATCACTTAAAATGCTTCCTAGAAAGAAAAGGCAGACGGTAAGTAGGCTTTGACAGATTGTGCTAGCATAATTTTTGGCATAATTTGTCATTACCAGCATAATTTTCTGATCTTTTCAGTTTCCGAAAACAAAGCGTGGCTTCAGTTCTTGTATAAGCAATGTTTGTTTGATTTTACAGTGACAATCAGTTTTTCCCGATGCTAAGATGTCAAAATGATTCCACGTGTTGTTGTGTCCAGTGGTGTTGACATGGTCAGCAATGGCTGATGTGTGATCGTTTTTAGCGAGTCGAGGGCCTTGAAATGCTCAGTTTTCTGCCATGAAACCTTCGGTTTGTTTTACCAATGAAAAAATGCTTAAAATCCCAACAACTGGCTTTGTAAATAACTTTAGACTATTGAGAACGATTCAAGCGGTCATTGTACTAAAAAGGAAAGAAAGACTTGATGCGGCGAGTCTTTTAAAAACATATTTTAAAGGGCCATTGCCAACCTTGATGCAACGCGGTACTTTGTTTTTGTTTTGAAATCGCGCTTCTGTAAATGGCGCGCTATGATTGGTCAACACTTTTGCCAGGCTTTCTTGCCAAAAATCAACATCAGCTGCGGTCGCGTTAGTCTGCTACACAGCCGTTTTTAGTGTCGTCACGCAGCGTTCCTCCCCACTAAAAGGAAAGGAATGTGGTTCTATTTTCAGCAGCCGTTAGTGGGGAGGAGCGTTGCGTGACGACACTAAAAACGGCTGTGTAGCGGACTATGGTCGTGTCGTC